TATATATATATATATTGTCGACATTAGGTAATGCATGAGTTCAAATTTGGATGATGACGTGTACATTATGTGTGCAGTGAAAAAAATTTCAACCTTGCCAAACAAACTAATTATGATATCTAATACAAATTTTGAAACCAGGTGGTGAATCTAATTATGTGTCTAAACTTACTCAATAATCTAAAGGTTTTCGTATGTTTAATCGTCTATTTATAATGTTTTTTACAGTTTGGATGATAGTAAAGAGCATATTACACTTGTTACGAAGGATTCAAGTCATGACTCTAATGATATTCCCCATGATGAAAAAATTGTGTCTATGCCTAATCCTGTGAATCATGAGTTTGAAGAAGAGGTAAATAAATTTTACTCTTGCATTGTCTTTTATTATTACCATTTTGTCTTAATCACATCTCGTTCTTTAATTCTATCTTAGGGATCAGGCCAAGCTGCAAATTAGCTTTGCCCTTCTCGGATATGATTATGATTCTGACTAGCTGATGGGACTTTTTTTTTCTTGAGATGGAAGCAGATTTTGATGTATGAAAAATTCTTTGGTACTTTATCCAACAAACTCTCTTTAAGTTCAGCATTCTAGAGAAAGCATACAAGACTTTGTTATTGTTCTGTTCTACTCTAAATTATTTATAGTAATCATCCTGAAACTGTAGAAGAAATTACTTGTCTCGAACCATTTTTCGGGTAACGAACAACGGTCTTGAAACTTCAAACCAAGAAATAAAAGTTTGGTATTGGTTGACTCCATGATCCAGAAGACTCTGGCTTTGATTAGTAATTGGTTGCTACATTTCTCCGAATAGCTTTTTGTGGAAACCAACATTATATGAGGACTAGTGAATTTTGAATACAATTCAATGGTCCACACTTTTTTCCTCGGTAGCTATCGATCTTGTGGAATTAATATGTGAGCTCTACACAAAGTGGAAACTTCCATAATTTTAGAGTCAAGCAATGTGACGTTGACTCTTATCATCATCGTTATATATATTGTTAAAACTTGTTTGGCTGCAAAAACCAAATCATATACACCAAATTTCTTCTTCAGTCTCTTGATTTGTTTCAAATGGCGAAACCG